CCCGGAGCTGTCCTTGGAAGCCCAAGTGATGGCGGTGACGAGGAGCGCTTTCCTCTAGCTTTGGCTAATCCATCAGCTGCATCCCTACCTGGAGGAGGATTGCCTAGCAACAGTAACACATGCATTGGTTACTTCCCGGGTGGATTTCTGTAATGCACTTTACGTGGGGCTGCCCTTGAAGACAGTCCGGATACTTCAGATGGTTCAAAATAGAGCTGCCAGGATGCTGCTGGGGACTGGGTGTTATTCTCATATAACCCCAGTCCTCTATTAGCTCCATTGACTTCCTATTGAAGTCCGGGCTCAATTCAAGGTGCTGGTTATTACCTATAAAGCTTAAATGGCTTGGCACCAGGATACCTTAAGGAACGCCTTTTTCCCTGCTTGCCCTCCCACCCCCTGAGATTGGCAACAGAATCCCTCCTCCGGGAACCCTCTGTGAAAGATGTTAGGAGACAGAGTACCCGGAGGAGGATCTTCTCTGTGGTGGCACCCGGACTTTGGAATGCGCTCCCCAGAGAGGTGTGCCTGGCGCCGTCACTATATGTTTTTCGGTGTCAAGACCTTTTTATTTAATCAATATTTAATATGTTTTAATATTGAATTTTCTTATTGTATTTGCAGCCAGAGTGGGTTGTCAATTTATTTATGGTTAGCCGTCCAGAGACGTTAGTAATTGGACGGCATACAAAGTTAATAAATAAACTTATCTCTAGATGAACAATCTTATTCCCTACACACCAGATACACATCAGCCTCTGAGACTGGAGATTTAGGAGCATGCAGTGACAGGAGTAAGGTGAGGCAGCATCCTACCTCATGCCCCATATTTTCCGTAGTTGTTCTTGGTTGTGGGGGCGCCATTTGCAACTGGTGTAAGTCTGAGGCCTCTCCCCACTACCCCCCATTTCCCCCTCCAAGGACCATGGCAACTAGCAGAGTTCTTTCCATTCCAGCTGTGAGAGTGCAGGACAGGGTTGGGGCTCAGTTTATACAGTTCAAGCTTCAAAGATTGCAGGATCACGGAACGGGGACTCTAAAGAATCCCACAGTGTTCCAGGCAATGTTGGGAGGCCATAGGACTGCATGGCTAGGAACAGAGGAGACTGGAAGAGTGTGGTCTTTTCCCTGTTTCACTTTGTGGTTACACATTTTAACGAGGATAGATCAACAACATATGTATCTGCGAACTCATAGTTCAATACAGTAGTAAATCAAATAATGCGCACAATATATTTCTTCTACTTCATTAGTTCTTGATATTCTAAAATCTCTAAACAGTATACATAAAATACATACGATACAAAAACAAATGAAAATACAGAGTAATACATTTATTGAAATGTAACAAGAACAGCAGTGGGACAGAGCAGTGACATGGCTGATTACCAGCCAGGGTAAGCCTGGCTAAATAACTATGCCATGGAGAGGCATTTAAAGTCTGGCCCCCTGAACCACAAATGGGACAACCTTCCAGAGGATGGGTGCCAGTATTAAGAAGGCCTGCTTATGTCAGTGGTTGGTGACACACTGTAGGTCTTGAGACAACCAATTAGGCCTCCATGGAATCTCAGGGGTTGATTTGGTGTATATGGGGTGGGGTGGGGGAAGTGCATCTCAAGCAGAGCTGTACACAAGAGATTTCTTACTTTTCTCATTTTGGGACAGTGGATTGCCCAGTTATAGAAGTATTCTAAATGGAGCCATTAAAAATACATTTGGACAATGTTGATAAAACATCCTCTCATATGAACTGGATATATGAATTTGGAAAGATTGTTAGGAACATTTCCTGACATTCCCAGTATATAAACTTTTGTTTGAATAGTCACATATGAAACATAAATGGAGTACATTCCTTATGTAAACTTCATGGCGACCTTTGATGACTTCAGACATTTCAGGAATTCTACTGCTGTTCTTACTAAAGATATATCACACTACAATGCTAAGCCCAAATTACTCCCTCTTCCATTTCGATCTTCAAAGAGACATTTCATAATCTAAACAAAACTGAAAGTTAGGTTAGAAATACTTACGTCCATACCTTGAAATGGTTCTCATATTTATTTACAGTGCAATTTTATGGATGTTTCCTCTGAAGTCCCAATTGTTTAATAGGGTTAACCTCCAAGTAAGATTATATAGGATTATAGCTGAAGATCCTTAGACCAGAATAAAGGTGGTAGGTCTGATCTATCAAGAGGACTGCAAGTGAGTAGCAAGCATTCTTTAATGATAGCAACAAGATAATTCCTTCCTCACCCTAAATTATACTATGGAAATGAAGCTGTTTTTTGTTTTTTTTTTTTTTTTGAGGGGAGGAGGGCTGGAAAGGACTCTGAACTCTGTTAGTTCTAGTATTCTAAAAAAAAGTCCTTTACTAAGCCTGTTTCTTTTGCATCAAGCTTTAGGTGGTGGATCTCAGAACCTCAAAGTAGATCTTGTAAGCCTGAGGTCGCCTCACCTCTGCACTGGACCTCACTGCAAATGAAGCAGTCTTAAATAAATGAAAGCAATTTACTTATATACCTTCCTTGTCGTGCTGCTGTTATGCTCTCTCCTGCTCAGATAGAGGCCAAGATCATTCTCCTCAGCACATGCACAGGTCTGTGGGCATGGAGGGAATCTATACAGGTATCTACAGAGACTCTTTTATGTTCGGCGTGTACCAAAAGGTGGTGGATCATTCCAATAACCAATGCATGAATTCCTATGTCTTTGCTGAGTGGCCTGCTCCTTCCCACACTTTCTGTGTACAGCATAATCAAGTTTTTAAGGGGAGCAGCCCTTCATCTGGGAGATACCAGTTTGCTCATTCAGTCTGTGAGGTGTGACAGCAACAGTTGGATACATTGCATTGTTCAGTTCTAGTGGTGAAGGTTAGGGGGAGAGAGAGAAGGAAAACAATAGGATCCAGCATTCGCAAGTTTCTGAAAGTTGCTTATATCATGTAATGTTTCTTCACACAATGACAATGGAATCCAGCTCACCCTAAAAACAACTTTTGAATCAAACTAATTTCAACATTCTAATAGGATACACTGCATCCAAACATTGTATGGTATCATTACTTTTATTGCCATTAGCTCAGAAAGTTCTATACTGCCAAATGCATTCAATGGAAACCAAGTCTGAAGTTTTGTGGCTCTTTAGATCCTGGTCTAGGTTTGATGTGGGGACGGATAGTGGTAGGAGCAGCACCGAACACCAGAATTGGAGAAAAGGAGGCCAAAGCCTCAACATGCTACTGGAAAATATACTTTTAAAATATGACAGAGAATCATTTTGGTGAGATTGTTAGGGACGCTGGAGTAAATACATAAACCACTAGAACTGTGTCTTTTTCCTGGCAGTGTGCTGGATGGAAAGGAAGAGGAAAAAGAGAATGGCAGAAAAATGACGATCGGTGATTTACTCATTTTTGGGTCCAGCCCTGTACACCTGTGGGGTTTGCCTTACCTACTGGTCTCTCCCCTTTGCCCTGCCCCATAGAAGATTGTTCACAAGAGACTGCTTCCCATGAAAGATTTTTGAGATTGACCCAAAAAGAAAAATATGTTGCCCGTCCCTATATTAATGTCTGCTGTGTATATGATAAACACAGTTGCTTTAGCATATTTAGTATTTAGGACATCAGCTACTATCCTAACAAAAGGAATGAGCAAAAAAATCTACTATTACAAACTTAACCTTGCAAAGACATTCCGTGCAGTCCAGTGTAGGTTACATGGAAAGACTATCATAAGTTGTACTGCTTACTGTTGATGTTCTTATCCAGTGTCATTTTCATAGAAACATGTACCTTTTTTCTAACAGTTCCCAATATTTTTGTGAAGTTAATTTCACTCAGCATAACAACTATTTGATTTGTCAAAAAATTGCATATGCTTTAAAACCACAATACTTCAGCCAAATGCCACAGAATTTTCACTCTTCTGTAAAAGGCCATCTAGTGAAATTGTTGAATGGCTATCAGCAAAATTTATTAGCAGTTGCACAGACCTGCTCAGAAATGGAGTGCCAGCAAGGCCTGTGCAAGATCATTTTTATTACTTGTCAGCTTGGGCAGGATTTATACCTAGAACCTTGGAGGTATGCAGAAAAATGGAATCAGAGCTTCTGGGTTCAAAGCTTTGCTATTCATGAAAGATTTGCTAGCCTTTATTCAAGTTTAGAAATCAAAATACTGCTGAATGTGTTAGATCAACTACTTCAAGGGCTTAAAGCACATTAGTCATTGGGAAGTCAATAGGACTAAGTAGTAATTAATTTAACTGAGTTGTCGATTAAAGTATCAGCCTAAAGTGGCTTGCGCCTGTGGGTATGAACCAGCCTTAGACCCTTCCTCAAAAACACCTTTATAGCTTCATCCGATGCATAATTGCATTTTAGTGGATTTTAAGCTTTATACCTACTTGGACACATGTCCCACTGTGTTCAGTGTAGATTACTCCCTAAAAGTGTGCACAGGATTGTAGCCTTATTTGGACATTTAGAAGTAGAGTTCTATGCACACTTTCTAGGAAGCAAACAACATTGCTTTATATGCATAGGGTTGGGCTGGAATCTGTTAGAGGTGCGTATAAACTAAATTCTATGTTTAGTTTCTCAGGCAATCATGCATTTCTCAAGTAGTACCATGTCAAATTATGCTGATGAATCCCCTTTTAAGGCCAGAAGGAAACAAGAAACTATCATTTCAGCTTGCCAGCTTGCTCTGCAGGGAATTAGTTTGGCTATACAGTGGGTCAGTGTAAAGAATAGGATTTTGCTGTTGACCCACCACCTCTTTGTGATAGGAACAACAAGAGGACCTAGTAAGCTGGGACCCGTGGCTTGCTGTTAACACTCAGGGATGTATACAAGCAGCCTGCAACAGAAGCGTGAAACCCACCATCCGAAGTAAAAGAAGTCTCACTGGGCATACCCAATTCTTAGCATAGCAGGACATGCCTCAAGCAGGCCCATGAAACCCATTCTCTCTGCAGTCCATTTAATCCATTTCATTTTAAATTTAATCACTGTATGTAGCTTTGCACCATAATTGGGTTTACAATGTAAGGAACAGAGTTGACATTTCAGTTAAACAGGAAGCCATTTCTTTCAGTGATTTGTGGGGCTCAGAGAAAGAAGGAAAATATTTCTGTAGGATGTCAGCCCCAGAAGTTAGCCGCATCCAAACTTGACTTGATATTATGCATGTGTTCTCGCCGTTGTTTAGTGTAAACATTCGCTTCTCCTTTCTGCAGCCGCCTTCTGAGAGATGCTTTTTGCTGTTTGGTCAGCTGACGCTTTATCTTCTGTTTTACCAGTTCCTATAAGGCAGTGTTAAAATACCAGACTTTAGTCTTATTTGCAAGTCACATGACATTTGTAGCACAGGAGTACTCAAAATGTACTTTATACAGCAGTTACACCTCACAAAAGATTTTCACAATTTAGCAAACTTTAACCAAAAATAGTCTTTTTCTAACTAATGAACAATAATTTGTATTTCTTGATGTCTCTGAGTAGATAAGTTGGAAAGGGTTAGAAAACTGGTTAGGGTACTCACAAAATGTAGGGAAGGTATGCAAAACCGAAAAGATCACATTTAGAAATATTTTAGCAGCCTTTAGGCACAATCCTAGGGAAAAAAGGGCCTAAACTGGCTGGGATATACTGGGAGTTGCAGGCCTTTTTCTGTTTAAACTTGCACAGGATTGTTCCTTTTGACTGAGCCTGGAAGAATATTATTCCCCCTTGTGGCTGAGACTAGTAACGGTTTGCTGACAAATACACAGATATGCTTGTTCCTGAACTGTCCAGAATGTGGTGCAGTGATAAGAGTACTGGATTTGACCAGAGCCAACTCAATTCAAATCCCCACTCAGTCGGCCAGCTTTGCTGGGTGATCTTGGGCCCCTCGCTTTCTTGCAGCTGGACTACCTCATGGGATCACTGTAAAGTAGGTCAGTCCCTACTGACAGTGGATTTGGGCAACTTGGTGGAAAAATGGGATGCTGAAAAAGCAGCAAGCCAGCTTTTATCAGTCACTGATGCAGACTGAGGTTAAATGCAAGTGATTCAGCTGTGAGTGGGACTCATATTAAGAATGGCCAGTCCATTATAGGCCAGTCAACCTAGAGGAAGCTGACTGCTTTGATGGTCATGGTTGTCATCATCGTCGTTGTCCTCATCATAATCAAAATAATGTTCATTTATACAGGAAGTCCCTTACATACAAATGAGTTCTGTTCTGACAGCGCATTCGTTAAGTCCAATTTGTTCATAAGTTCAACAAAGTTAGCCTAGGTACTCAACAAACACAATTGGCTATATAGTACTACTGTACTGTAGGTTTATAACGACATTGGAGGACTTTCAAAAGTTATACTTCCAGGTATGTGGAAGTGCAGCCATGTTGTTTGTCTGATGGGTTCTTCCTTGTATGGTGTCAGTTAGGTTGGTGCAACCTGCGTTACGCTTTGCTGGACTCACCACTCTCAATTATTACAGTGAAGTACGCAAAAGCACATTCACATCTTTGAAAGTTCACAACTTGAAGGTTCATATATAGGGGACTTCCAGTACTCTGTTATGGATCCTCAGACTCAACAGATGGGTTAAGAGTAGTCATAAAAAGGGCCCAATATCCCTGGGTAAAATGCAGTTAAAGGCAAAGTGCTCATGCACAGAAGACCACCCTAGGGGGTTAGCCATAGAAACACAGTCAGAAGGGCTCTCCTGGGCCATCTAGTCTGACCTCCGGCTCCAGCTGGCTCCACTCATGACATGCCTACCATGTGTGTGTCCATGATGAGGAATAGTGCATGGAAGGGAGAATTTGGTGAGGTGCTTGACTGTGCTCTCTTCTTCTACTCTATTCTAAAAGCAGAGCTCTCCTTGAAAGAGAGCTTCAAGAGGCTACATTTTTAAAGCATGAACAAGCATAAGTGAGTGGTATGTTGCCAGTGCCTGTGGAATTTAGAGCCTTTAGATACAATTAGAATTCCTTTGCTCCCCACTGTCCACATTTTTGCTGCTCATTTTCCTATACAACAGCAGCAGAGGTTACCACTAACTTGCTTTCTGTCTCAAAAATGGACCAAAAGATTCCCTCCTTTTGGTCACTCCAGCAGCAGTTTACTAGGAATGTAAAGAATTCAGAAGACAAAGAAAGCATTGTTTTTGTTCCATCCCTTTTGTCAGCAAATCCCTGGACCCCAGGAGTGGAATTACTTGGCCTTTCAAACTGTATGCTTAGGAGAGTTTAAAATACTGCTTCCAGCTGGTAATGAAAGAAGAGCACAGACCCCTTTGTCAGCCAGACTGCTCTCCATCCAATTGAGTGTCATGTTGGGCACCCATCAGAACAAAGGAACAGACAATTTCACCTCCAACGCATGCAAGAATGTGCTGGACCCTTTTGCTTGGATTTACGATCTTGAATTGTAACTTTAATCCAGCTTGGAAAAAAACATCATCAACATTCTGACCTTTTTCTAGGCATTTCTGCCATTAAAATATTTAAATTGCACTGATAGATAGAAATTAACAAATAGCTAAGCTGCTCTATTGTTAAAAAACAAAATGAAATATGAATCCACACAGCCTATACTTTCTCTAATCTCTGTATTCTTCACTGCCCCAAGCTACCCTTTAAGTTATATAGCCACTTGGAGGCACTCTAGTATAAATAAAAACAGCTACAGTTTAGCAAAGACATACAGAAAATTGAAATGAAGCATCTGTAGCAGTAACTAATAAGTCTTCAGCATGCCTGGGGATCTATATTTCCCTTGATTGTTCAAAGTATACCAAGTAAGCTGGGTAAGCAGGAAATTTAATCAGAATCTGGCATAAAATTGGCATCATGACATTATGCAATATGTATATTTTTCTGGAGAAAGAGAACATTAATGAATATTTTAAAAACAACTTTAACGCTGACAACCTTAATGACCTTCAAAGATAACTACAACTGCTCATTATCTCAAACTGCTAGGTTCAGGCTTTCAGAAAAGATAACTGAAATAGATTCAATTAGAAGGCAGATCAGTTTTGCAAGCTTTAAAATAATTATAATTAAGATTTTAGTGATCCTCAATCATTTAGTCTTGAGAATAAAGAAATGTAATACTTTGCAGTATTCAGTATATGTTCCAAGTATCTGCTTTCTTTTATCACCTGCACTGATCAATATCAGACTATTTTCAAAAGACACACTGAAAACATACCAAAAATTTAAGATATACTGCACAAATTCCACTGAACTGTGACTAAAAGGCATTATGTAAGGCTTACTGGAGGAATTGTTGAACGGCTTCCAGCACTGCTTACTGAAGTTACACTAGTAGTCCTTGTCCTGTGATCATTGATATGAAAAAGGGTCCCTTCATCTCTGCAATACAGAAATTATGATTTTAGTCAGCTACATTTAATTCAAATATTACTAATCATTTCTTCCAAAACAAGAAGTGAACCAGTGTGGTGCAATGGTTGGAGTGTTGCAATGTGACTCAGGAGACCAGGTTCCAGTCCTCAATCAGTCATGAAGCTCACTGGGTGTATTTGGAGACCATTTATTGAGCATGTCTTAATAAAAGGGAAGGGGTGTGAACCATCACAAGAGTCAATGTAGTTCTGGAAGGGGAGCGGGAGTGGAGTAACCTGAATGAATAAATGATCATACATTAAGTAGAATGATTTGTTGGTCCTGGTGGAAGTAGCACTGTCATTATTGTATTGTTTAATTAAGTTTGTTATTATTTTATTAACTGTATTGTTTAATTAATGATTTCTTTAAACAATTAAAAAGCTCACTGGGTGACGTTAGGCCCATTACTGACTCCCAACCTAACTGGAATGTTGGGACAATAAAAGAGAATGCTGTCTGGGGTTCTTTGCAAGGGGGAAAAACAGGACAGAAATGCAATAATAGATGAGAAAAAATCAGTTGGGACATTTACATGTAGCAATTTCATCAAAACAATAGTAGCCCTTGGGCAGAATCCACCAGGAAATAAACTCATACAAAACTTACTGAAATGAATGGGAGTGACCTGATAGCCATTCAATTCTCTTCCAAGATAACCCTTTAGTTTATTGGAGCATCACTGACTCAAAAGGTGCTTTTGAACAGTTACTGATTGCAAGATGGCAGAAAGATTGACATATACTGACACCTTCACTCATGCTTACTCTCCGCCTTTGTCTGTCATGCCTTGCATGTCTTCAACCCCAGTGCAGGCAACATTAGATTTTGGCAGCCCCCTTTGTCAAGTCAGGTTTTCTATATCAGAAGCAAATGTATAATTTCATTAAAGAAGATGCAGGCTGAGCTAGGTGGTGAATATCTAGCTATTTGGTGAAGTTGGCAACAGATTTCTTTGTGGACAGAACTGACAGAGACCAAACAGTATCTACAATCAGCAATTCAGCAGAGTTGGTGCAACATGTTATAATAAATAATTCATGCTCAATTAGCAGAAATAATCATATGTGCAAATGTACACTATTATAAAACGGCCAAGAAATATGAATGTAAGGGCTGCACAATTTTAGTATTTCTCCCAGAGTAATGTATTTTTCACCAGTCATGAATCAGTGTGCAACTGGGATAACATGTTTTTGTAGTGCTAGTCAGTCACTGAATACTAGATCAGAAGAAAATCAATTTCATTACCCATTCTAACATTTCAAAGAAAGCTTTGAATGAGAAATATGAAACAAAATATGCCTACCACTTGAAAGGGGATCATGTTTTGGTAAGAGAAAACAAAAAAAAATACATGTAAAGCCTCTGAATGATGCAATGTAATGTAATCTATATTGCATTTAGATCTATACCTGAAAGGCTTGAATTTTCTGTTCAGAGTTGACAAGTCAACCAGATCAGGGCATTCGTCATATTCTTTGTCAACAGGCTCTTCTCCTTGACCTGGCTGATCTTCAATTTTAGTGCATTTTTCAATTTTCCCTTTGTTCTCAGAAGAATCAGTTGCAGTGGTTTCTGCATCAGCCCCAGCTCCAGCAGCAGCAATTTCCTCTTCAACTTGTTCTAAAGCACAGCTGAACTCCTGCAAATCTAACTCTTCTTCACTTTCATCATCATCATCATCTTCTTCACTAGTTGGCACCAAATTTTTTTCTACCTCCTCTGTAAGGTCCCCATCCATCTTTTGGTCTGTGTCACTACATCGTGCTATTCCCTCTGCAATACCTTGTGTGCTGGGTGAAAACTCAGTTTGATGACCCTCATCATGAGGGCAAGCTGGATGAAGAAGTTCATCATCTTCTTGCATTTCTTTGGTGTATCCGCTGGCTGCAATTTCAACATCAAGAGAACACTCCCTCCTTGGCAATGTAGAAAAATATAAAGTTATTAATTATCCATTTATAGTGACTAAACTTAGAACAAAGCTGTTCTTCTAAATATGGGCTGAGCAACTTAAGGCCCTTTAGACGTTTGGGTCTGTAAGACCCATTATCCTTCATCAGTGGCTATGCTGGCTAGGGCTGAGCCTGATGGGAGTTGTAGGTCAAAGCCTCTGGAGTGCCAAAAGTTGCCCACTCCTACTCTAAATTACTGTTGTCTCATGTAAAGCAGGGCAGTGTGACCCAAAAGGATGAAAAAGGGAAGCAGAGAACAGAAGAACTGGGATCCTGAGATGGGGTTTTGAAGTAGTTTGGTTCTGGGATCTACTAAAAAGTGTAGCTGCCTGTTTTAAATAAGCTCATTTAAAAAAATAGGGGTGGGGAAGCATGGTCAATATTTGAAGAGGTTGGATATTGACTGGAAAGAAGAACTGTGAAAAGGTTTCTGTAGCAATTGTCTATAAAATGTGTATGTTAGGATAACTGGCATGTAAAACTATAATATAGATTGTTTTAAAGTTGCAGATTGATGTAGAATTGGATAGAACAGTTAAGAAACAGTTTCATGACTCAGTATTCGCCAAAGTGAGGTCGAGACTTTCAGAACTCAACTTCCATCATTCTCAGCCAGCGTAACCAATGGGCAGAAGTTCTGGGAGTTGTAATGCAACACTTCTGGATGACAGATGGCTGGTACAGACTGACAGCAAAAGTTTATCTCAGCTCCTATTTCTAAAAAGTGACTTAGTATTTGCAAGAGGAATATGATGTGCAGTTCAGCCCTGCAATAGATGTAGTCAATTAATGGAACTGTGGTAGCAAAAAGCATGCGACTGCACGTTGTAGAAGGCATGGCCAGGAACTTGTGGCTCTGCCAATGGAACCATGGCCTGGTTCAGACTTATCTTTCAGTATTGCAAATGATGTTCTGGGAGCAATTGGAATGGTGGAGGAGGAACTTGAAGTGTGCAACTACTCTTTCTTTTTAAATATGATATACATCTTACGCAATATCCTTGAATGTTGGATAGAGCTCGCTTTCATAGCTGAAGCGCTTCATGAAGAAATCACGAATGCATTTCACGTCTCTGTCAAAATACCTGAACCAAAAAGCAAACCATTATATAAATTAATTAACATTTATAGTATGAAATTGCAAATACATCATTAGTACAGTTTCATCAACATGCAGACATAAATTCAGTTAAATACTATATTTGGGCTCTCTGCAGAAGTAGCAGTTGACAATTCCAGCTAACATCATCATCAAATGACCATAATTTGATAAATGAACAGAGGCTCTTCACATACCATTCAGCATTTGGGTGAGAGGTTGACACCATTTGTGGAAAATCAATCATTGTGATCCTGTCTTCATTATCCAACATGAGATTGAATTCATTGAAATCACCATGGATCAAACCATGGTTCGCAAGTTTTACAATTAAGTCCATTAATTCATTATATAGTGAGGCAGGGTCTTCGAGGTGATGCACTTGACACCTAGGTGATAAAACAAGAACCATAGCACTGAAGCCCAAATTCAACTATAAGCTAAACTTTGTGAAAAACAGCCAGTGTGATTCACCGAGTAGCCCAAAGAATTTGCTTATGTCACTAGTAGCCATTTAGGAAGTGATAAAGTGGAGTGCTGCCCCACATCTGCTCTTCTTCTTTCTAGAAAAAGAGACTGATAGCGTATAGCCTATTGTAAGAGCAACTGGGTTGCTGTTCATTACTGCACCCCAGAACATACATGAATAAGATGTCCTGATTTTACAGCTACTCCTAGTAATTTCAAGTCAGCTGGAAAAAAATTCTATGTTCAGCAAATTTTCAGTCTAGCTCAGTTTATCAGAATTAGTGTGCTCAAGGCACAGATAATGCAAGTTCTTTCCTTTTGAACATACATCAGTTTCAGTCATCAGTATTTCCCAACTAGTATGGTTTCAGAGCATCTTGGTTCCTGAACAAGCATAGAAGGTATAAGACTTGCTAAAGAAATGTAGTTTATTGGATGAGCCACAATATAAATCCCAAATAGATTTCTGACCTTGGGTTTCCCATTGAATAGTGCTAAACAGAAGATGAAAAAAGGAAAAAGAATATTTCTTTAACGAATCATGGATAAGACTCATTTAATAGGCTCACAAAACAGCGCTTCCTCAGAACCACACAAAGTATTACTTGTTGAAGGAACTGATATACAGTGTGAAAAATGTGCACTACCATCACACAGATAGAGTAACATGCAGTGTCACTTCTCAAAGCTAATGAATTTATGCATCATCTAAAACATTACACAAAGTACACTTCCCCTGATATTGTAAAATGCTGCACAGACTTGTATATTACTAAAGTTTAGTGCTCATATTTATGCCAGTGTCTAAGGAATACCTGAAGAACTATCACTGGCAAACTTGATTTAAATCAATGTTTTAAACTAGGAGTTTCTTGTGGTGATTTTAATAGCCTTGATTTAAATAAATCCTCCCTGGCGAGACAGAATACCCTAAAAATATTTTTAATTCCTACTGTTGTTATGTTGCACATACATCTTGAACAAATTTTATTTGAAATAATTAACTGCTTCTTTAAGGACTTTTCTCCAGCAGTTGCTTTAGTACAACATCTAGCTCTATACTTGAAATGTAATGAACATTTCTTTCAGAGTTCTCAGTCTCTGCTGTTGCTCAGTAACATTAGTGTGTAATCACAACTTAATGCAATTCATTCCAAGCAAATTAGATTTTGTGAGTTATCATCTGTATTACTTAAGTTATAGAAGGAAGAAAAGTTTTTTTGAGCTCTCTCTCTCTCTCTCTCACACACGCACACCTATATATACAGAGAGAGTGTGCAAGTGAGTGAGGGAGAGGCTGTTTCATACCAAAGTCAGACCAATGGTCTATGTAACATCATATTGTCAACCATAGTCATCTCATAGTCTTTCATGCAGTATGGACTATGGTACCCAAGTATCCCTCATCAACTTGCAGTATGCTTGATCAAAGAGCTACAGGTCCACAAAGATTTATCTGGCCCACTAGAACTCACTGCTTTATAAAAGCTAAAAAGCCAATGTTTTGTCATGTGCTGGGCATCAGGCTCAGAATAAGAAGACTGGGGCTCAGATTCCTATTCAGCTATAAAGTAAAATGGGTGATCTCTGGTAAGTCACTATCCCTTAGCTTAACTTACCATACAGGATATAATGTAAAATGGTGAAATATCTATATTATTATTGCTATATTATATTTACTATATGTATGCTCCACTTTCTTTCTCTTGCAAGGAACCCAATGTGGCTTACAAGGTCTTCCTGCTCTCCATTTTATCTTCACAACAACAACTCTTTTAAGGCCGAGAATCTAAGAATGGGCCAATGTTACCCAGTGGGCTTCATTGCTGAGTGGGGATTATAGCCTGGACACGCTAGCCACTATGTCACACTGAACATACACCCATACACACACCCACACCCACACACAAACACACTTTAGAAGATGGCTGTCATAAAATATTTATTTGCACTAGATCAGGGCAGGCAGCCCACCCTTAATTACACCAACTTATACTAAGGCATATCCTTTCTGACTCCAAAATGGCAGCTACTCTTGCCTTTCTATTGCTTTGGCCAAGCATCAACTTCTGGCAGCCTTATAGATTTACTACTACTGAAGTACCCTAAGCTAATTTGCTTTTGGAAATAACAATTTTATCTGTGTGATGCGTGCACTAATACTTACAGTGGATAGCCATTGACAAGTTCCATCACTACAGCATGTCTATTGTAGTCATACGGTTTTGGCACAGGAAATTTTCTGTCATGCAAACACTGATCAAAAACAAAAGCCCAGAGTTAACACCTTAAAAACAGAGTAAAATTTCTGTTTGAAGCGAGTACTAATTTAAGTACAAATTAATCTTCCAGGATGTTAATATAATCACTTTGATAGTATGAATACAGATTGCAAGTTAAAGATACAAATAGAATAACTTTCTGTAAACAAACTTACACCATCCCATCATAGTAGGAGGCAATAAGAACGCTGGCTTATACTACCTGTTTGTGAAAGTGGTTAATTACCTAGATATTTCTAAGCTCTGCAACTGATAGTCAAAGGAACACTACTTTCTAACATAGAGGCTTCATTCAGCTATCATGACTAGCGAGTATGTAAGCAAAAGATCTAGTGTCATATCAAAGGAAAACAAGTCTCTACCAATACAGGCCTATCATGTTTCCTTCTGCCTTTATATATATAAACTAAATAGTCCCCAAACCCTCTTCTCATAGGAAAGGTGCTTTAGCCTCTTGACCATTGTGGTTGCCCTTTCCTGAACCTTTTCCAGTTCTTGAAGTGGGGACTATAGCCTGGATCTGTTGAACCCTAGCTCCACACTCTAGCACATGGGTCCTCAGACTATGGCCTGGGGGCCAGATCCGGCCCGCCATCCCCATTTGGACCCACTGCACATGCGCCTGTGCCCACGCATGCACCCTGTGCCGCCCACCTTGCCCCACGTGCAGGGAGGCAGCGGTTTGTTTGCTCAGAGAAAACCATCTCACAGCGAGCAAGCCGCTCCCTCGTGCGTCGGCCTTGCGGAGCGTGCCTTCCCCCGCCTGGGCCTTGCCTCAACTTGCCTCGCCACGCGCCCTGCCCCTGCCCCAGCGCGCGCACCCGCCACCCCCGCCCTGCGCGCTCTGCCGGCTCCACCTTGCTGGCCTATTCCCAGCACTGGCAGCTTTCAACTGGCCCCCTGGTGAAAAAGTTTGAGGACCCCTGCTCTAGCCACTAGGAAGCTGAAGGGTACTCTATTGTTTTCCATACCACCAATGGTAAAGTGGTAATTCTGAGTCTGGACAACCAAGGAAGCTATGGTGAAGCATGAACACTTAGGAAAAGACCGTTGAGTCTCTCTGTAGTTTCAGAAAACTAACCCTACCAAGCAGAAGCTCTGGAATGGGTACAGGCAACTCAACCCACAGTGGTAAGATTTCACCATGGCTTCTTATGCCTTGTGAACCTTCACACTGACTTTTCCACTGAGCTGGCTTTCACTTTGAGAATTAAAAGGAGATCATGGATGGCCAAAAGAGACTGGGTAGACACTGTCATACAGTCAGATTTTCTGTCCCATAAAGGGAGTTTCCTTTTCCCCATTTGCCCTGGAAGCCTTTTGCACTGCCTCCCATCTGCTCCAGAAGATTCACCAGTCAGAAGGACACCATATGATGCAAGCCTTAGAGAAGAAATAACTTGTTGGCTATGCAAGGGACAAACGATTACTGGTTAATTTCATAATCTTTATTTGTTAGAAGCAAATTATAGGAAGCTACTGTAAACCTTTTTGTCCCCTCTAGTTCAAACCTAGTCAATTTGGGGCAGAATCAAAAGAACCATAAACCAATGCTACCTTCATATAGGCAAATTCCTTCATTGCAGCAAGACGTGACAGATAGAGCCATGACATCTTGCGCCTGTGTTTATGGTAATCACGCTTGTTCTTTAAATTCCGAAAAGATGTTCTCCCAAGCCTATGCAACTTTAATGCAAGTTGCTCTTCTTCATTTGCAACAATATAAATATCTATAAAACATGACATTTTTAATTAGAATAATACTAAAAAGGCAATTTTAGCATTCTGCAGCACCTGCTTAATAGGCAAAGAAATCTTAAAATGGTACATATTTTTATGAACAGATATTATAATATTAATATTCTTCAAGTTCAGCTTCACTGATTGCAATGCTCAGATTATCTGGATATTGGTTACTAGTAAGCAGACCCACCAAACTGATAGCAGTCTTTAGAAATGTGTAAATACTGAGTGATCATGAACATTATATTTGTAGAATACACAGATGCTTTTCAAAAGCCTAATAATACCTAGAAGAGCTTGTGGAGTGGCACTTGTCCTGTTCCTTTTATTGTTCTCATTAGCTACATCATGGAAGGTCTGGGTACAATGCTATACACAGTGACCTCACAGTAAGTCCCACTGAAGTCAGTGAGGCCTGCTTTTCAAAAGCCACATATATGATTATACATTGTTAGTATCTGGTTTGGTTTTGTTTCTCCCTGTCTGGATGCTGTTTTTATTTTAATCCATTTTCCCTGAAGATCATCTGCAATGGGCCAGAGATGCCAACATTTAAAATTTAGAGAGTGCAAAAGTTGGCTTGAAACTCAATATTAAGAAAACTAAGATCATGGCATCCGGTCCTATCACTTCCTGGCAAATAGATGGGGAAGAAATGGAGGTAGTGACAGATTTTATTTTCCTGGGCTCCAAGATGGGGACTGCAGCCAAGAAATTAAAAGATGCTTGCTCCTGGGGAGGAAAACTATGGCAAATCTAGACAGCATACTAAAAAGCAGAGACATCACCCTGCTAACAAAAGTGCGTATAGTCAAGGCTATGGTTTTTCCAGTTGCAATGTATGGTTGTGAAAGCTGGACCATAAGGAAGGCTGAGCACCGAAGGATTGAGGCCTTTGAACTGTGGTGCTGGAGGAGACTCCTGTGAGTCCCTTGGACCGCAAGGAGATCAACCCAGTCAGTCTTATAGGAGATCAACCCTGACTGCTCTTTAGAAGGTCAGATATCGAAGATGAAACTCAAATACTTTGGCCACCTAATGAGAAGGAAGGACTCCCTGGAGAAGAGCCTAATGCTGGGAACAATAGATGGCAAAAGAAGAAGGGGACGGCAGAGGATGAGATGGCTAGATGGAGTCACTGAAGCAGCTGGTGTGAGCTTAAGTGGACTCTGGGAGATGGTGGAGGACAGGAAGGCCTGGAGGAATGTTATCCATGGGGTCGCGATGGGTCAGATGTGACTTCGCGACTAACAACAACAACAACAAAGATTTAGAGTCTGTCTTGGGCACAATTTTGTGAACATGTGGATGAATACTCTTTACTTCCCACAGAGCTTCAAGTATGGGGCTCTGTATGAATAAAAAAAATTAAACAAAAAGTAAAATACCTTTTCAATATATTAATCTTTTTAAATGTCATATTTCTAAAATAAGTGCTACATTTTATTACCTTAAAAGAACAAAAAAAATTGTCTCTATAAATACCTGATTCTTTTCCAACACCCATCTGGTTTCCAACAGAACAAATAACTTGTCGAGAAGAAAGTGTTTTCAAGGCAAGGTAATCATATCCTCCATTAGTTAATCGATAGCCTTGGACAGCTAAAAGTTAAAATAAGTGCAATATATGAAAAGTTATTAGTAGGTGTGCATCATTATGGAAAAAGTCCTTTTAAATAACTGAAATATATTAAAGTCATTTGTCCTGTAGAGCAAAGGAATCTTAACATCTTGCAAATGATCCAAGTAATTCATATTGTGCAAAGTACAGAGATTTTGTATTCTGTACAACCACTTTATATTAAAGGTAAGTACCAAAGGGAAGGCTGAAAAGGCTTAAACAAGGTAATGTGAAGTATCTCAAGCAGGTGAAAAAACATATCATGTACTGGTGGGTTCTAGTTTTCAACACCTCCATTTATTAAAAAAAAAATCTAACATCATTAGTTATTGTTTGGAGGCCAATGCAAGCTATTTATACTCACTTTTAGTTTGCTCATAAGCCAAGAGCCTGTGCTTTGCTAATTCTCGCAGAATTTTGCTACATCCCCCATGTTTGAGACTGGCAATGGAAGCAATCAAGCTGGCAGGGACTATTTCATGATTCTTCATGCCCATTTCCACCTGTAACAGTGACATAAATATGAGAAATACTATATTTTTAAAGAAACATGGTCTCCTACATCATGCATGCTTTTCCAACTAAAATGTCTTTTCCCTTTCCAATATGGTCACTTGAGTTTTAAAATATTGGCTAATGTCCTCACAGCATGCAGACATGCTTGATATTCAAATAAACAGAATAAATTCTATACAGTTCTTAGAAGTCTTGACAACTCAAGTGTAGCTCATTTCTGTTAAAACTAATGTTTTTTGGTTAAAGTTCAGACCACACTCCGAAAGGACTACCTAACTGGCCAAATGTTTACATTGCATCATTATAGTGCTTACTTTTCACAGGTTTCTGAGTACAGTAAAACTAAGGACAAGTTCCAACGGCAAGCTACAGCAGGACCTTGGCCACTCTATCATCCTCAGATCCAATTATAGCATCCCTTCCACCTGACCTCTCATTGAAACACAGACATGATTGCATACTATTGCATTTTGTAGCTATAAAGACCATCAAAGAATTTCTGGATTAGAGAACGTTGCTGATGGACTGCAGGAATGCTGTGGACCTTGACTTCAGCAAAGCTGTTGACAAAGTGACCCATGATATCCTGATTAGCAAGCTAGCTAAAAGTGGGATAGATGGAATAACAATCAGGTGGATCCTCAGTTGGCTTCAGAATCAAAGAGTGCTCATCAGTGGCACCTCCTCAAATTGGGGAGAGCAAACAAGTGGGATACCTCAGGGTTCAGTCATGGGTCCAGTGCTCTTCAACATTTTAATTAATGGTTTGGATGAGGAAGTGCAGAGAATATAAAATTTGCAGGTAGCAAAAAACTGGGTGGGATAGCAAATACCCTGGCACAGAGAAACAAGATTCAAGGCCATGAAAACAACAGAATGAAAGTCAGTAGAGACAAATGCCAAGTTCTGCACCTGGGAAAAAGAAACCACATGCATAATTACCAAATGGGGAGTACTTGGCTCAAGAAAACTGCAAATGAGAAGGATCTTGGGATTGTTGAAGATCACAAGCTGAATATGAATCTGCAAATGCAAATGCTATTTTAGGCTGCATTAATAGAGTTATCACTTCCAAATTTAGTGAGAGCCAGTGTGGTGTAGTGGTTAAGAGCATGGGACTGGGACTCAGAGTATCTGGGTTCGAGTCCCCGCTCGGCCATGGAGCCAACTGGGTGACTTTGGGCCAGTCACAGTCTCTCAGCCCAACCTACCTCACAGGGTTGTTGTTGTGGGGGTAAGATGGAGGAGGAGAGATAATGTAAGCTGCCTTGAGCCCTTTGTAGGAAAAAGGCAGGATATAAATAAAAAAAAATACTAGTTCCCCTTTACTCAGCACTGGTTCAGCATCATCTGGTGCACTGGTGTTCAGTTTGGGACACCACAGTTTAAGAAAGATGCAGACAAACTGGAAAGGATTCAGAGGAAGACAGCAAGGATGATTCAGGGACTGGAAACAAAGCCTTGGGGTGAGTGATTGAAAGAACCGGGCATATTTAGTACTGAGAAGAGAAGACTGAGGGTAGATGTGATAGCACTCTTCAAGTACTTGAAAGGTCATAAATAGGACGGCCAGGATGTCTTTTCAGTCATTCCAGAGTAACAACATGGAATGATGGGCTCAAGTTACAGAAAACTAGGTTTCAATTGAACATCGGTTGGACTGTTGAGCATTTGGACAATGAAACCAATGACCTAGGGAGATTGTGGGCTCTCCCACACTAGAGACATTTAAGATGCAACTGGGCAGCCATCTGAGAGGGATGGTTTAACTTGGAGTCCTGCACTGAGCAGGGGTTGGACCCAATGGCCCTCTGGCTCCTTCCAACTCTACTATTCTATGATTATGATTCTATGAAGGTTGGAAACTCCAATCTGTTTCCTACACAATGCAGCAACAACTGCTTATTTACTGCTGTATTACACCTGGTAGAAGCTGCCTGGTGCTTTCGTGTGGCAAGCATGCTTTCCTCTTTGGGGAACTGCTTTTGAGGGTGGTTCAGAACTGCAGCTTGCACAGAACACAGCACCTTGGAACAGGGTATGTTGCCCCAGACACGAGCAGTGAATTGTTTGGGAATTCCAAAAAGTGACACACCAACTCCAGGTTTACTAAGATTATTTATTACTGCAATAATGTCCAAAGCTAGCTAGACTTCCAATACATTTAGCAACAAGCTACTTACACCACACAGCCAGGAAATCTGCAAGGTAGGATTCCAATCAGCTGGGTTTGCATAGTCAGCAGAATCCCCCTTAAAAACAGTCTGAACCAGGGCACAAAGGAAGTGGCTAGTTTATATAGATTACAAGTTTTTATTGACTAGGCTCAAGGCCATTGTAATTTCCATAACTCAATATCAACATAAACCAACTTAGAATACACATTTTAAATAAATGTGTTTTTTTCCTACTTAAAGTAGACACACTGAAATGGATGTTTAAATTAGACTAAAGTTGGAAGCAATCCTCTGTTCACATCCCTAACTTAACCTAAAACTATTTTCCTGGATTTACCTAACATTCCCCGGCCTCCTGACAGACAGACTTAGTACCATGTTGGAACATATTAACATTCTGTAACGTGTTTATGGTCAGCTTGTGACAATAAGGTAACTGAAATGGAAGACATCCTTAATTCGGAGGGCTGCTAGAGGACCTTCCTCTGTTTGAAAGTGTCCTTTTTCCGAAGGGTTGAACAACCCACGTGTCATATGAAAGATCGTGGGGTACAGAAACAGCCCAGACGTGGAGAGACCGAGCTGGAGCACACTCTTCATTAAACCCGGAGACGAGACACCGCACATGGTCCCAAGTCATCGACTGGCCATTGATCCTTACCGCAGTAAGTACCCGGAAGTGGTCCCGAGAAAGGTATCGGAGTAATGCGATGTTAAGCTTCCCCATGGTCTCGCCCAGATACACTCCGCCTCCACGCTGGAATTAAACCTGCCAGGGTCGCTCGACCCACCAAACGATTTCGGCTACTTGAGTTAGAACTTCCGTGCACGCATGCGCATTCCTGCGCACGCGCGACGCTCCTTACGTAAACCACCTCGTTTCAAAGGGAGGAATTGGGCCCTTCCTCATGTGGGATGCGTGCGTCAGGTCCTTGAAGCCGCATAAACGTCCGGACGATTGATTTTTCTAACTCGTACCGTTCCAGCTTTGTTCCAGGTCTACAATTCGATACTGTGTGTCTAATCGAGGGAAATAGTTCACTGTTCTAAGAAAGCTTTTCATCTCTTAGGTTCGTAGTGTTAGCTGCATGCTTCTGTCAGGATCCGTTACCTAGGAAACGCGTCGCGCGGGAGAGTGGCTCAAAACAAGACTCCGTGACGGGGGTTCACTCGAGAATCATGAGCGCCGGCGGCGATCGCCGCCCCGTCCCTCTGCCTCGAGCAGCAGCTAAGGTAGCGTCCGTGACGGTGGTTTTGGTTCTTGCAAGCGTTTGGTAGGGCGGGTAGTATGTGTCTTCCCTAACCCAGGTCTCTCCAGATGCGTTGGATTACAACTCCCATCATCCCCAGGCTGAGGATGATGGACGCTAAATTCCACGACGTCTGGAGGGCGCTGTGTTGGAGGAAGGTACTTCAGATAATTTTCAGTCATGAGTTCAGTCATGAGCTGTCCTTCTCTTGGCCAGCTTCCACAGCCGAGCCCTTCTTGTGATTTGCATACGGAGGAAACCCTTCTTCTGCTGTGACGGGGTCTTGCGCTTTGGAGGCAATGGAAGTGGGAAGGCAGGCTTCCGATGCAAGTTTGGACTGAAATCTGGCAAGGGGAAGGAGATTAAGTGCATGAAAGCAACGGTCAAGACAACGAGGATGATTTATCGTCCTTTGCAGGTTAAGCTCTCAGAGCAACGTACATAATAAAAGTAAACAACCAACCCTCTGGACCATCAATAAAAGCTAAACATAAAATACATCTAAACATTATTTATAAAAAAAACAACAATCCGGCATTTAAAGGAGATAAAGCAAAAATAAAGATGGAGCAAGGTGGAAGTTAGGTCTCAGCCCACAGAGATGCAGAGTTCTGGGGAAAGAAAAGAGGCTTTGAGCATGTGCTCTACCTTTTCATTCTGCCCCCTGCCCTGCCTATAGCATATTTCAGACTAGGATGTTAAGATCTTTCAGATCATCAATTATGTCTTCCACCTGGGCTGTTGCTTCAGAGTCTTAAATTCTAGAATCAGAGAGTGAAGGGGATCTTGCAGACCTTTCAGTGCTGGAATTCCAGCACCCCAGCTTGCGCATCTGAAGAGTTATTAGAGGTCTTCAGCCTCTTCCTGAAGATCTCCAATACAGCAGAGTTCAATGAGTTAGACTGTTGAATGGCTCTTGCCATTAAGAAGTTTCTTTTAAAGTTTCACTGAAATCTAGCCTCCAGTGACTTAAGCCAGTGTGACTGCCCTTTGGGTCAGCAGAGAGTAAGGCTTTGCCTTTTTCAGAGAGTTCTTCAGATATTTGAGGTCTGCTATCATGGCCCAACTTCCCTTGTCTTCTTTTCTCAAGGCTAAACATACCCAATTTTTTAAACTGTTCTTAATAGAATTTGTCTCTCATAACTGATCATCTTCACTGCTTTCATTTGAACTTGTACCAGTTTGTCTCTTTGTTGGGATGGGCAGAACTGGAAATGGAGCTGCTGAGAAAGGCTGAGTAGTACAAAATATGTGGATGTTGGTCTGAATTTTAAGTTTGTAAAATCTTGTACTACTGTGCTGCTTTCATCTTGTATAGATACTCTCTGTTGGCATTACAGTTCAAACCTAAACATGTTCAGCTAGACATAAGTTTTGTTGTGTTCAGTAGTATTTATTAGCAAATAAATAATTTCAGGATTTCAGGTAGAGTAGCAAGTCCTCTATTGGATAGTGTAGAAATGAAATCAATAATGTATGTTTGTTTATTGAAAATATTTACAGGCTCCCTTTCAAGGCAAAAATCCTCTGAAGGCAGCTTGCAGCATTAAAATGCATGTAATAAAAATATGGAACAGTCATAAAACACCAGAAATAAAATGTCATCTAAAACCTGCAATATAATTGCAGTTACAGATCATAGCAGTTCAAGAGAACATAACTAGGGAAAGGCCAGAGTAAACCACTAGGCTTTCAGGGCTTTCCGAAATGCCGGGATGGGCCTGGTGGACCCCCAGTGGCAACCCATTCTAGCTGTGTGGGGATACTATGGGAATATTCCTCTTCAGCTGAAATTTTAATCTTCCCATTTGAACTCCAGAGAATGGATCTAGCAACAGTAGCTTGGGAGCTTTTGTTGTTTCTATGCTCTTGAGAGCTTTTGTTGTACAGATTGACAAGGGGAATATTAAATGGCTGCAGAGAGAGTGTCTGCATGTGTTTCCCAAATAATGCAATTCTGTGGGTGCTGTAAAGAGTTCCTGCTGTCACAGTAGCAATATACATATTTCAACAGTCTTTGAATTTCAGATGTGTAATTTGATGGGCATGGTTTTTCTGATGTATTCCAATCTCAACACTGTGTTTGCAGAGCACAGAATCAGGTCTGTGGTTCACCTGGTAATGTTAAGATTGTGCTTAGTACTGCTTTTCAGGGATCATTGCAGTGGTAGGGCATATGATTTGCATGCAGAAGGTTTCGTATTCAGTCTTTAATAACTTTAGCTAAAGCATAAAGAGGTTGTGTGAAAGATCTCTGCCACAGATTATGGGAAATCATAGTCAATACTGAGATTGATGGAACAGTGGTTTGACCTGGAATATGGCAGTTTCTCTTCACTGTCCTGCCACAAATTCCTTTGTGAATTCTTGAGCCTCTGCTAGGAGATTACAAATGTTTTCAGCTATGTCACTAAGAACTCCTTAATCACATATATCAGGAATTAAGTCTGGAATTAGTTACAAATCTTATGCTGTGCCCTCTTCCAAATCAGGTAGTATTCCAAGAAATCCAGGGCCCTATGGTTTGACCATTTAGAACTAGAAATGGGAAAGTAGAATGGATACAGGGTCAGACCTGCTGCAGACCTCCAAAAAATCTACTCTAAATACATTGCTTACCTGCTGCTGCTTGCTTGCTTATTTATTTATTTACATATTTATATGCCACCTGCCAAAAGGCCTTGTTAAGGAGCTTGCAATCACATATTAAACATATTAAAGATCTATATAAATAACAACATGCTGCTGGTCAGTGGTCCCATTAGCCTTCTCCAATTTAGGGTCTTGTAGTTGTTTGGGGTACAGCTCTTAGCATGCCTCAGCTAGCCTTGTGGAAGATGAGTTACATTGTTCTGTTGGGTGAAGATACAGGTTCAGATACTGCTATGTACAGATTTTGCTATGTTTTTCTACAATGTTAGATCTTCCCAATTCAAATAGGTTTATGAAGAATGTCAGTAGCCATAGATAATGTATGAAGCAATGTCTGAAACAATTTTTAAATGTATGAAACAAATGAATTCTAGATGGCCTTGGTGGTAAGAGGAGGAAGCGTTGCTATTGTCTAAGATTAGGATTTGTTGTTTTTGAGGTTGCACTCTACAAAACTCCTTTGCGGGGAAAAGATTACCTGATTAGACCTCATTATTGTAGTTTTGTTTACTGATAATGTTTGTTGCTTCTCTAAATTTATTTATATAGAATGCAGTTATTCCGAACTGTATATAGCATGGGTCCTCAAACTACGGCCTGCGGGATGGATCCGGCCCGCCATGGCCATCCATCCGGCCCGTGCCACCGTTCGCCGCCCGTGCACACACTTGCTGCGTGGGCAGGGAGGTGGCAGCTTGCTCACTCGGAGATGGTTTTGGACTCACTGGGAGATCTCCGAGCGAGCCACCGCTGTGCGTGCCCAATGCCGCCTCCCGCTCGCCTGACAGCACCTCACTGGCCCACGCCCCCAGGCACCTCCAGCCTTTCAACTGGCTCCCTACTGAAAAAGTTTGAAGACCGCTGGTATATAGTTATGCATTTAAGATGCTGAATCATACCAGTCATCCATCCAGTTCAGTATCTTGTAGACACTGGTTGTTAGCCAGACATTCAAGAAAGCCTTCAGTAGGTCATGAAGCTAGCATTCATCCTCTTTTTACCTCATAACAAGTGGTATTCAGAGACAGATTGGTGCGGTTCCAGAAGTTTTCATCTGTGTAGCTTTTATATTCTTACAT